AAGCCACCTGCTTTTTTTTTTTTTTTTTTTTTAAACCTCTCCCCACCTGACTTCCTCACATCAACAGGCATTGCCTTCAATCAGAGCCAAGGAAATTTCAAAAAGGGACGATCATGCAGGGCCTGTTGTCCCTAGACCCTGTCCTCCCTTCCTGTTTGCAGCCTGGGCTGAGAAGTTCAGGTCAGGCTTCAAGGGAAAGAGGGCTGCGTGAAATCAGAGCCCAGAGGGACCGCCTGATGCCTTTCCTTAGCTTCTTTAGGTTTGGTCCAGTCTAGGGGCCTCGGTCCAGTTCATTTCAGGGTGGCCCTTGGATTGGTTGAGAATTGGGGTTCCCCAGACTCCAAGGTGGGCACTGTAGTACAGCGTTTTACACCTGAGGTAGAGGATCCGATTTGGAGTGCCCTCATGTTGGGAAGGGTGGACTCTGGAACCTTGTTCCATGAGTTTGACCCCCTCTCTCCCGATGTCCTATAGAAGAGGTCATGAGGTGGCACCTCTGGGGGGACCTCTGGACTGTCTGTGAAGAAGCCAGGAGGCCTCTCTCCAGCTGGACCTGCCACTCCAGAGCCTTCCAAGGCAAAACTCTGACTTCCGGGCCTAGGTGCCCAGATGAACCCTGGGTTGGGTGTGAACACTGAGCATAAGCAGTCAAGCGGGGCCCGGTGCTCCTGGGGCCTTTCGCCAGGCCCAGAAACTCTTTCCCTGCCCCAGCCTCAGGCCCAGACACCCAGAGTCTCTGCCTAAGCAGAACATACAGCGTTTAGCCCGCGTGCGCCACAAGCCAGCCTTTGTCAACTCAAGCCTCACATGGGGCCGTGCCAGGAGGGGCTGGTGGGTATTCTGCCTGCAGCTGGGGCAAGCCCCCAGAGGCCTCGGCCCCCCAAACTCCCTCCGATACAGAGCTGGCATGTCCACAACAGCCTGCACTGTGGTGAAGGCAGTTCCCCTGAGAGACAGCTGCTGGGGAGACAAGTCATTCGCTCAGTTCTTCACGAGACGCCTGTGTCAGGCCCGGGTCCAGGGCCTTGTGCTGTGAGACGGGACGCTTGTCTTTTGTGGGGAAGAAAATGGGAAGGAATCACTCAGGGGACCCACCCCCACAGTTTCTGACTTAGGAGAACTGGAGTACGGGGGCCTGTGGCAAGTGCTCACTTTTTGGGGATCGCAGAGCCCTGGCATAGAACCACACAGTGAGCGTGTTAGACAGACACTACCAGTAAGCCTGATCATCCTGGGGAGCACTACGATTCAGAACCCGGTAAAGAAACTGTGATTGATGCTCTCTGTAGTTTTCAGAAACTTTCTGCCTCTCCATGTACTACTTTGACAAAATCCAGTTCCTCAGAGCTGACCGTGGAGGGATGTCACCTTCCGTGACGTAAAGACCCTACATCTGGTAACGTGTCTCCAGGCCGCCTGAGCCTGAGTGTACCTGTGTCTTCCCTGGGCTCCTTCGACCTAGGGATCACTCAGACCCCACCTCCCGCCAGTCACCGTGTTTCGTCAGAATGACAAGGAGAATATGCGATCTGCCCACGGATGGCAAAGCTGAATTTGAATATGGGTTCTTGCAGCCCAGGCCGTATGGATGTAGCTGTCTGCCTTCACTTCCTTTGCCCCTTCCTTCCTGCTCCCTTCTCTGCCAGCTGAACTGGCACTCGGGCTCCTCACTTCCTCATTTCTCTCACTGGTGAGCTCACCGTCTCACTTCCTCCCAGTCCAGTTCTGGTCGGCCCATTTGGCCTGGTGTGGCCTGGTGTGGGCTGGTGACTCTACTTTGGGGTAGTTAGGGTGTCCACTGAGATGATTGCCCCTCTGCAGCCAGGAGGCAGGATCACCCACTTTGGTGTTGTTGGTGAACACACCCTTAGGACACAGTCTGGCATGTCCAGGAGTGACACACGGATTCGATGTTGGTGGAGGGAGTCAGCCTGTGGGGGCTTGGAACCTCCAGTTTGTCACTTCTGTCTTCCTTTCCTGGGTTCTGAGAAATAGCTCCAGAAGCCAGGCAAATGGATGTGAGGACCCCTGGGGTGTGGTATGGCCTGGATAACATGGCTTCTTACCTGCCCATCAATCCAGGAGCCCATGCCTGCTGACACCCCCCTACACACACACACACACACACACACACACACACAGCCACTGCGACCTGGCCACAGTGTAGACGCACTGCAGTCTAGACTCCAGCCTGTGCTGGTCCCGCTGGCAACCAGGTGTGAGGAAAGGCCTCCATGTTTTCTTTTCCAGACTGTACAGACCCCTGGGGTGAGCAAAGGTTGTGGGGAGCAGAGGGGATCCCACCCACCCCCATCTTCCCTTTATTTCCATTTTCTTTAGAGGACTCCAGCCTTACAGATCTAGTGCCCTCTCCAGAGCAGCCTTTCTGTTCCCGGTTGCCTGTCTGCTTCCATCAGTGCCAACCTCAAGTGCTTCTTCTGAGGGGCATGCCTTTGCCACGGCCTCATCTCTGATGGCTCAGTTCCCCTCCTCTGTGTGCAATCTTGTTTAAGCTACCAGTAGGTATCATTCATGTTTGTGACTCAGTGTCCATATTTGTTATGAGACATAACCATGTGTTTCCTTTGCGAAGGCACCCGAGTGCCCCTTGTGTGGTGTCTGGTAGTCACTTCCCATCTTTCACGGTGAGAAGCCCCTCCTTTCTTCCTTCATAGCTAGGCATGCTTTTGATCATCCAGTTAATACTGGTTGGGGCTCTGCAGGTGCTGGGTGTGAGGGGCGGGGAGGTGGGACGACCTTCAGTTCCACAGTCACTTGGAAACCAGCTGTTAAATAGTTTCAGATGGACTGAGGGAAGTGAGGAGCTTCCACTTAAGCCAGGCCTGGCAGGCTCTGCATGGCTGACCCCTCGACTTCCCCAGCCCTGTTCTGTCCTTTTCTTTCCGACATTCTCACAGAGCTGAGGCTGGCTTTGAAATCATGATCTTTCTCATTTCATATACCTCAGGCCTGACTCTTGCGCTGTCTTTTAAGCAAAAAGCAAGCAAACAAACGAACATACATTTATCTATCTATCTATCTATCTATCTATCTATCTATCTATCTATCTATCTGACAGAGTCTCAATATGTAGTGTTGGTTGGCCTGCAACTTTCTCTGTGGACCAGGCTGGCCTGGAACTCACTGAGATCCTGCCTCTCTGTCTGCCTATTTTCAAGTGCTGGAATGAAAGGTAGGCACCATTATTAAACAAATAGAAATTTGATTAAATGTATCTATTTATCTATCTGTTTATTTATTTATTGAGAGACAGGGTTTCACTGTGTAGTCTCTGGTGTCCTGGAAACCAGCTCTGTAGACCAGGCTGGCCTCAAACGCAAAGATCCACCTGCTTCTGCCTCCCAAGTGCTAGGATTAAAGGTGTGTGCCACAGCTCCCACCTCCATCTCCCACCCCCGGCAACACATATAATATAAAAATTACATTTATTTGTATGTGTGCCACAGAACACGTGAGGAGGTTAGAGGGCAGCTTACAGCAGCTGGTTCCCTCCTGTCCTGTCCTCTACCATGTGGGACCCAGGAAGCAAACTCAGGCCACTAGGCTTGTGGCCAGCACCTTTATCCATCTTACCTCTCCCCTTATGTGTCCCATCCCCCACCCCCTCACCCTAGACAAGGCCTTGCTAGGCAGCCCTGACTATCCTGGAACTTATTGTGTAGACCAGGCTGGCCTCGAATTCACAGAGATCTTCTGCCTCCCAGGTGCTGGGGGTATCTTGATGCATTGAGTGTTTTCCTACCTCTGAGCTTTGCATACCATTTCCTCTTCCTGGAATGCTTCTGGATATGCTTCTTGCCTTGACTTAAATGCCCCTTCTTTAGAGATGGCCTCCTTGATTGTGCCCCCCTAACACAGCACCTCCCCCACTTGCTGCCATACTTCTCTGTATGGCATACATACTGCTGTAGTGTTGTTTTTTTTCTTTTTGCCTCCACTACACTTAATAGCATCTGAGTGTGTTTGTTTGTTTGTTTGTTTCTTGCTTAACCGTGTTTTTGGGCTAAGGCTCGGGGAAGGAGGTGTGGACAAGGCTGTTCACTAACACCCTTCCCTGGTTTTGGGTGCGGTGCAGTGTCGGTTATGTAGCCGGCGTTCACGAATGCTTGCTGTCATCCCCGGTGTGTGCTTCCCGTTGTTTCTGTAACATTACGCTTTCCATCCCTGTGGCCGTGGCCATCACGGCAGCAGGATACCTTAGGCAACCAAAGAGGAGGAAAGTTGTATTTTGTATTCTACCTCATGCTCATACCTCAGTTAAAGGTCATTTTGTGCCTGCTGTGACACGGAGCATCACGGCAGGGAGAGCATGGCACTCGAGGCTGCTCACCTCATGGGGTCCAGGAAACAAGGAGGAAGGGAACAGGGTTCGACTATCCCTTCAAAGGCAACCTCCAACGCTGCGGTACCCTCACCTCCTAGATAGCCCACCACTTCCCAGTGGAGCCATAAGGAAGACTCAGCCGATAGAAGTGAGAAGATTCAAATCGTACGAGTGGCACATCTGTAGATTACCTTCCAAGTCTGAAACTCAGGTCCTGGCGGTTGCATGTCTGCTGAGGCCTTTAGGACAGACTCCTCTCCTTGGCCGTTAGCCACTTGTGGACGCCTCATGCTTGTGGAGGCTGCCTTCGTTCCTTGGCTGGCGGCCTTTCTCCACCTGCAGAGCCTGTCTTGTCTCCCCTTTACTTCCTCCATGCATTGTTGCTCCCACTAGCCTCCCTCTCAGGGCCCATGCAGCCAGCCTGGATAATGCTCCTGTCTAGAGACCCTTATCTCCGTCTCATCGGCAAAGCCCCCTTTGCCATGGAAGGCGCATATTTACAGTCATGGGAGTTCCGCGGTGGCCATCTTTGGGTGTTGGCGTTCAGCCTGTAACCCCAGGGTCCCCGGGTCTGCTTGCCAGGTGTGGCCAGCATTCAGGCGCCCCGGCCACCGCCGTGGGCTCTGGGGATCTGACCCGTTTCTTTGTCCTGTAGGACGAGATCGAGGAGCTGCGGGCTGAGATGCTGGAGATGCGGGACGTCTACATGGAGGAAGATGTGTACCAGCTGCAGGAGCTGCGGCAGCAGCTGGACCAAGCCAGCAAGACCTGTCGCATCCTGCAGTACCGACTGCGTAAGGCTGAGCGCCGCAGCCTCCGCGCCGCCCAGACGGGCCAGGTGGACGGTGAGCTCATCCGTGGTCTGGAGCAGGACGTCAAGGTCAGTCTGGGTCTCCACCGACCTCTATAGGTTGCCCTTGTGGGATCTAGGGTAGCCCTGTGGCTTACTTCTTGCCTTGAGCAAGTTATCCTGCTTCTCTGGCCTAACCCTGCTGCTCCTCCTCCTCAGGAACAAGCAGGGATGGCCCCATGCAGACAGGTGGGGATACGGGAGAGAAGTCTCCACTGTGGTCTTATGTAAGTTGGGGTGGAGGATCAAAAACGTGGGGACCCGGAGCCAGCTGTCTGCTCTCAGAACTCAGCCCCGCAGCACACTGGTACAGAACTGGGGGGAGTCTAGGAGTTCTGCAGGAGGCCCAAGAGAGAAGAAGGCACGAGCCAGGCATGTTCTAGGACTCCCAAGGGCCCCCGGGGGCAGACAGGTGCTGAGCCTTGCTGCTGGAGGACAGTGCGAATCCAGCCCCGCAGGCCACTCCTAAAAGGATTTTGGAAAGCTGCGGCTCCATCAAGCCTGTGTGCCTGTGTGGAGCCAGTTTTCTTGACTGCACAAGACCCTGTTACTTAAAAAAATAAAACCCAAACAACAACATAAAACTACGATAAAACAACCCTCCAGGTTCCCTCATTGGAAGGCGACAGAGCCGGGCGGTTGGGAAGGAGAGCGGAGAAGTTCAGGCTAATCCACTGTTGGGCTCCGGCCTTTGAGGATTTTTGGGAGGGACCCTAGTGGTGCAGAGACTAGAGGGTAAGGGGAGCAGGCTGGTGGGCGGGGCCAGAGCAGCTGGGTTGGGGGTGGGGCTCAGCCCTCCAGGAGGAGAGGAAGGGCCCCTTCTGTTGGGATTTGAACTAGCCAATCAGCACACCCGGGCCTCCCCTCCCCATCCCCGCAGCTGCAGCGCTGAGCTCATGCTCTGGCTCAGCCTGAGCTGGCCACAGTGTGCTGGGAATGTTAGAGGCAATTATGGAGGTCCGCAGAAAACTGACTTCTCCGGCTTCCCCTAGGCAGGCTGAGGGAACCAGGTGGGGCGAGGTTGGGAGAGGTGTGCCTAGGGCCGCTCAGCATGCTCCTTGGCCCCGTGCCCTGCAGGGCTCTTGAGCTCCGGCGGCTTTATTGGGCGCTCGTGTGTTATTAGTGAGATTGCCTCATCGCCACCCGCCACCCGATAGCAACCCTCCCGGGCGATTTGACTTTTTGCCGGTCCGCACAGTTCACGAGGGCTCCGACCCTCAGCAGGTCACGAGCGTGCGGATGGCGCTGCCATTCCGTGGCTGTGTGGTTTGGGGAAGGCTGCTTCTCGCTTCTGATCCTGTTTCCGCTCTGGAACACGGAGTTCAGTTTAGTTCCGTAGAGAGACTCCGATGAATGTAAAATGGAGTTGCTAAAGAGAGTGCTGTATAGAGTGGCGCTGGGACCCCACTGCTTTTCTTGTAGAAGGTCCCAGAACATGGGTACAGCCATATGTACCCTATCCTCAGATAAGAATGCGCTGGCCTTGGCCCTGTGTCCTGGGTGACCTGCACCTCTTCTCCTCAGAGCCTCAGTTTCCCTCTGTGTCAAAGGGGGTGAGACTCCCCATCATGTTTTTTTTTTTTTTTTTAAGAGGATTTAGTTCAGGATGCTGCCTGGCCCTGGGTGCTGCTGACAGGTCCCATCTCTCTCTGGAATGTACTGTAATGTGAGGCTCAGAGCCCAGAGGCTGATGTGCTGAGGCGCTGGGGGCCTGCACACTGCTGATGGCCTTTGGCAGGGACCAAGGCCAGCACTGTAAACAGTGACCTCATGGCTCAGCTGTTTGCACATCAGGCATTTGACCTGTGTCCGGATGCTTGCAGCTGCTTCTCTTCTCTTGGTCTCTCTGCCTCCTTCTTTGGGTGTAACTGCAGGGCTCAATGAGAGAGGCATACGGGGGCCTTTCAGGCCTCTTTGGATATAGCCATATTGGTACTTGCTCTTGACAGCCCATTGTTCATAGTTGTAGCTACAGCCTCAGCTTTAGAGTTGACCCATGCTTGGTACCTTCCTAGTCATGTGACCTTGGGCCACTGCCCCTTCCTTTCTGGGATTCAGAGTGGTAATAAAATATGTCCTGAGGGGGAAGAAAGCCTGATTCCATAAGTGACCTGTGAGAGCCAAGGGCTCTGGGACCAGTGGAAATCTGGGAGGGGAAGGCAAGGCCAGGCCCTGGTTCCTGCTATCCAGTTTGGTGACCGTGGCACCCTTTGCTCCCTGACATTCGTGGAGGCTGCAAGGCATAGCAGGAATCTGAACTGGTGGGCTCTTCTGTCTGGAATTCTGCAGCTTCTTTGGGGAAGGATGCTTTCTTAACATGTGGCCCTGGGCTGGGGAGAACACTGGGACAGGGAATCCACAGAGTATGGAGAGGATCCAGGAACAGCTATGGTGGAGACAGGGCATGTCCCACCCTGATGGAAGCATGTTTGGGAGAGGACACTTTGCTCTAGTAGCCCTCTCTAGCAGGTGGGGTAGGGACAGTGGAGGGGCTTGCCCTCCACCCCACTAGGGCAGGTTCAACTGTGCACTCCTTCCTTCTTCTCCTTTTCATGTGCTGGGTCCTGTTTGTTTATCCATTTATTAGGCATTTAGTGTATGTTAGACCCTGAGCTACTTCTGGGACACAGATGTGAATGAATCCAGATAGACATGGCCTTGGTCTCTGTGGTTCACCACTTCCGTCCCAGTGACAAGGCAAGATAAGTGAATGAATGAATGAATGAATGAATGAGTGAGTGAATGAGTGAATGGATGGAATATTGGTGAGTACAGGACTTCCTGAGGGACCTAATAGCCTGGGCCGAGGTGGATAAAACCAATGCAAACAGGCAAAGCAGTAAGCACGGTAATACATTAAAAAGGCTTTTGCGGCTGTGGCTGGAGATGTAGCCCAGCTGGCAGAGTGCCTCCCCAGCAGGCACAGAGCTCTGGGGTTGGTCTTCAGCACTGCATAGACTCAGCAAGGCTGCATGTGCCCAGCGCTTGGGAAGCAGAGACAGGAAGATGAGAAGTTCTAGGCCATCCCTGGCTAGTAACAAACTGAAGGCTAGCCTGGGGAGACAAAAATCTCTTGTATGGCTAGAGAGTGCTTGCTTAGCGCGCACAAAAGTCCATGGTTCGTTCCCAGCACAGTCATTAAAAAAAAAAAAAAATTGTGTAGATGGTTCCTTAACCACTGCCTGTGAACTGCTTTGTATGGTTCTTAGATATTTTACACAACCAAAATAGGTCAAGAAACTATGAAATAAATACAACTTCTGTAATACACTGAATAGAGCGAACTATTTAGAAATAATAGTCAATAAGAAGCTCTGTAATTTTTGAGCACCTTCTGGATGCCAGCCACTACCCACAGCAGCCCTCAGAGCAGTGAACCCACCCAGTTGCCACCAACCAAACTCAGACTCCAAACGTTAGGGTTCTGGCACCAGTGCTTGAATCTAGTTTTCTTTCTTGCAATTTTTTTAATTGAAGGATTGCCTACCACACTTTATGGGTAAGGAAAGCTTTGTGGCCCACAGTGTCTACAGGGTAGGCTGTGGGCCTCCATCTGGCGTCCTCAGAGGTCTTCAGGCTGGAGGGGCCAATGAGCAGAGGAGGGAGGAGAGCCGTGCCCAGTTTCCGCTCAACTGTTGTTTTTCCTGGCCTTCCCTGCACACTGCCAAAGGGGTCTGTGCTGAGTTGGGCTTGGGCCCAGGCAGAGGGCAGAGCTAGGGAGGGAGGGCCTCCTCCCTTCCAGGGGGAGGAGGCACGTGGTCGTTTCCGACACTGGCAGGCCTGGGTGCTGGGCTGTCTGTGCCACACAGGTCTTGCTGGCAGGGCCTTCAGACTCCTGGGGGCCTCTGGCTATGCTGGCTCTTCCCAGTGAGTCCCAGCCCAGCCATGCTCACTGTGTGTGACCCTGAGCTCCAGTAAAGTGAGGGTAGGACTCAGGTGGAACTCCTGAGCCTAGTGGGTGTTGGCAGGACCCAGCCTAACTAGGGATGGCATCTGTTTGCATTCTGCCAGCTCAGGAGGGCGTCCTTCACCCCACCTCATCCCCTGCCTTCCCACACCCAGTTGCAGGGGCAGGACAGAAGGGATCCTCGGGAGTTTGGGGTGCTTTTCCTGCTGAGCCTGGACCTGGGATTAGAGCCTGCTGCTCTGTTAGCTGCATCCAAGGGACGACTTGGACACATGCCTAGCCTCTGTCATTCCAGCGTGGTCTATATCCCAGAACAGGCCTCAGGGCTACTGTGACCTCTGACAAGTCATGCCGGTCTCTGGACATCGGTTCCTGGGAGCAGCAGCCGCTAGTCACTGAACACTCACTGTGGCAGGCGCCGCGTGAAGGCTTTGTGAGCAATAGCTGACGTGATCCTGCTGTTGGCTCTGAGATCGTCCTGCTACTGCTGTGCCCATTTCATACAAGTTGAGAACACTGAAGCTCAGGGCCAGGAAATGACTTGCTGAAGATTGACCGCATGCTGCCCATTTTGTGCTGGGCTTCCAAACCAGCTCTCGTCCCTCTCAGGCTCTTGTGAAGACAGGGCTGGGAGTACAGCTTTGTGGTAGCACTATTGCCAGAGAGAAGCAAGGCTGGGTTCTGTCTCCAGCACACCACACACACACACACACACACACACACACACACACACACACAGCCCTGGCTGAATATAAAGGCACCTTTAAGGACAGAACAAGATCATTGCAGCTTTGGGGGGCAGCATATTGGGAGCTTGGGTACTTGGGTTTGGCTTTGGATCTGCTGATCCCTAGATTCATGGCTCTTGGTGAGTCTTAGGACCTCTTGTGCCTCTGTTTCCCTGTCTGCTGAGTAAAGGTGAAGAGGTGACTCTGTGACTGAGGTGGGATGGTCACCCGGGACTCGAGTGTGTCCGGGACACAGGGGGGACTCAGGCTGGAGGTGTGTCCTTCTCCAGCCTGAACATGTCCTCTCTCCCTCCTTCCCCTACCTCCCCCGGCTCAGGTCTCTAAGGACATTTCCATGCGGCTTCACAAGGAGCTGGAGGTGGTGGAGAAGAAGCGGATGAGGCTGGAGGAGGAGAATGAGGGGCTTCGGCAGAGGCTCATTGAGACGGAGCTGGCCAAGCAGGTGCTGCAGACGGAGCTGGATCGTCCTAGAGAGGTGAGGGCTGCAGCCCAAGTGGGGCAGGTGGGATGTGCGTCCCTGCCTGGCTGCTTGTGGACTGGGACGGGTACCCTTACGCCTCCCTGGAGGTGTGGTTCATCCATTCATCCTTCCAGCATGTATTCCTGAGCACTTCTTCTGTACTTTACACTGGACATTCAGAGTGGAGTGGTGAGCGAGAGATGCTGCTTACTCTCTCTGGGATTAATGAAGGAGGGTTTGTTCAGCAATGCCTAGGGTCGGCCTGACCCTCTGTGCCTCAGTTTCTTCATCTTTAATGTTGGGCAGTTGTTTTCTGGTCACTGACAGGGCCACTGGCTAGCTTGTGTGGAGATGCTTTAGGGACTAGTATGTTGTGGCCACTTGGTCTGAGAAAGATGCCAGGCCCAGCTCTCCCACTTTTGTCTCTGAATGTGACTTCCAGACCCCATGTCTCCAGTCTTGGTTGATGTCAGACCCTCCTCCTGCTGTACCCTTCTTCAGCTATGTGTTAGGCTTGTATGAGGACAGTTTATCTGAGAAATCTTTGCAAAGGCCCAACAAAGCGGTGATCATTTCATGGTTGAGCAAACAGCTTCCTTCAGTGAGGTAGGTTCTCAAGGTCATGCAGGCTGCAGGGGACTTTGCCAAATGCCACTGGATGATTCTTAAAGCCTGGATACCTCCTGATTCCAGGGGCAGAGAGGATTAGTACTCCAAACACTAGGTGGCCTCTGACTCCAGAGGCACAGCTGGCCCTCAGCTGTTTGGCTGCTCATGAGGCATCCCCGGCTGTACATTCTTCTGGGCTCCCACCTGCTTCCCAAGAGGGCCAGCATGCCAGCCATCCAAGACTGAGACATCATAGTCCCCAGGGTAGAGCAGTCCTTTGGCCATCCTTCCCACTGGGCATGCTGGTGCCATGTGCCCCACAGGTTGGAGAGGGGAGAATCTGCCCCGAGGGCAGCTGTGGTGTTGGGTGGGAGGTTTCCTGCTCGCTGTGGGCTGCCTACAGCACTGGGTGGCACCTACACACATGTCTGACGGTGAAAAGGAGGGGTACTACAAAGTACCCGTAGAGCACAGAGCCTTCTTCTTGCACACATAGGGAAACTGAGGTTGTCAGCTGCAATTTGTTGAGTTTGCCCCCAGCTTTTCCTTAGCAGAGATGTGGCTGAAGCCACTGCCCTCATCCAAGTCTCAGCTTCTTCCTCTGTGATGTCAGGATTCGGATAGTACCAGCTTATAAGGTATTATGAGGCTGTTTGGATCACTAAGAAGTTTGTGTAACCAGAGGGGCCAGGAATGGAGCCTGTGTGGTAGAACCCGTGCTTGGCACATGGGAGGGCTAAAAAGAAAACAAACAATAAAAAAGAAAGCCTTTTGAATGACTCTGTAATACTATGAAGAAGTTAGAAGGACTAACTAGTGACCATTTCTCACTAAGGACAGAGTTACTGTATCACCCAGCAATTCCGGTTCTCTCAGTACGTCCCAAAGAACTGAGGGCAGGGACATGGAGCTGTTGGCACCTCTGTGTTCATAGCAGCATTGTCCGCAATAGCCGAGAGACAGAAGCAACCCAAATTCTATGTGATGGGCGGATGGATATACAAAGCCAGGTATGTGTGTGTACCTGGAAGGCAGAAGCGCTGCTGCACGCTTGGCCCGGGTGGGCCTTGAAAACATCGTGCCGGGTGAAATGAGCCACGTAGGTGAGGCTCGGTATTGTGATGTTCCGTTTGCCTGAGCTACCTAGAGCAGTGAGATTCCTAAGACAGAGGGTAGCAATGCTGGGGCAGGGGGAACGGGCTTGCTGTTCAGTGGGGGCAGGGTTTCACTTTGGGGTGATGACAGGGTGGGGAGGCAGAGTGTGCCTGTGATCATACACAATGAGTAGATTGACGCTCAGGGCACGGTGTTGCCACCTGCGCCCTGACACCTGGGAGGCTCAAGCAAGAGGCTTGGGAGTTTAGGACATTTGTAGTCTGAGTCTGAGGCCGCCCTGGTATATATGAGACCCTATTTCCAAAAAAAAGGGCCTGGGTTCAATACCTAGCACCAGAGAAACAAAAATAAAGGTCCAAAAGTGGTAACTTTTATGTTAACTATATTTTACCGTTGTAGAATAGAATGTTTAAAGTGGTACATTTATATTATATAACCTTTACCATGTGTTACAAAGTAGAAAAAAAATGTATCCTGATATAAGAAGGTCTCCAAGGTATGTTGTAAACCAGGGAAGGAAATTAGGAAGGTAGGCCTGGTGACCAGGCCCATTATCCCAGCTGCCTGGAAGGTTGAAGCGGGAGGGTGGGATGTTCTAGGCCTGCCTGAGCTGCACAGTAAGCTGAGGCCAGCCCAGGCAACTTAGTAGGACCTTGTCTTGAAATAAAAAGGCAGTAAAGTACTGGGAACATTGCCCAGTAGTGGAACTCTTGCCTAACATGTGCTAGACCCAGGATTTGATCCCCACTGCAGCCCAAAAGAAAGTTACAGAACTGCACATATTGAAAAACCCTACCAGCTGTTTTGAGATCTCCTACATACCAGGGTAGGTTGGACTCTCAAGCCATAAAGCCATACCGTCAGCCCAAGCTAGGCTTTGTGTGCTTTCTAGTCTCTCTCTCTCTTTCTCTGTGTGTGTGCCTGCTTGTCTGTCTATGTACCATGTGTGTCCAGGTGCCCACAGAGGCCAGACAGAAGATGGCATTGGAATCCCGAAAGCTTGAGCTATCTGTGGTCGTGAGCTGCTCAGCGTGGGTGCTGGGAATCGAGCGAGTCTTCTGCAAGAGTAGCTAGTGTTTCCAACTGCTGAGCCATCTCTCCAGGGCCCCCAGGAATTAAATAATGAGAGGTAGTCAGGAGGCAGACCCCACTGGGCTCTGTGATTCCAGGCCGGCCTGGGTTACGATATAAGGTTGTCTCAAAAACAAAAGAATAAAATAAAGTTAAAAAGGACTGGGATCGTAGCTCAGGTGGTAGAGCGCTTGCCTGGAGTTCCAGGCAAAATGGGAAAACACAGTTCCAACTAAAATGGGCGTGGTTCCATACAGCTGTAACCCCAGCACCCAGGAGATAGAGACATGAAAATTAGAAGCTGAGGCTCATTCTTGGCTACATGGTGAATGCGAGGAGAAGCTGGGATACACGAGACAGTGCCTCAAAGAAACTACTAAAACTAGATATGATGAGAACATCTATAGTTCATTACAGGGGGGAAGATAACTTAAGTCTAGGCATCAAAGAGCTAGCCTGGGTAACATAGTAAGACCTTTCTTTAAAAACAAAACAAAAACATGAATGTACTTAGGCATTACTTGTGAAATTAAAATTTTTACTACAATTAAAACTTTATTGTGTGTGTGTGTGTGTGTGTGTGTGTGTGCATGTGTGTGTCTGCGTCTCTGTATCTCTGTCTCTGTGTAACTGTCTCTGTGTCTGTCAGTGTCCCACAGCCAGCATGTGGAGGTCAGAGGACAATGTGAAGAAGTTGCTTCTCTTCTTCCACACCGTGGATCCCAGATATCAAACTCAGGTCATCAGTGTTGGTGGCACCTGCCTTTACCCACTGAGTTGCCTCACGATCCCTACTCGAGGAACCTTAAATGTAAATTTTAGGTTTTTAATGTAAAGACCCCAGAATGGACCCTGACACAGAGCAGGCACTGAAGAAACCGGTTCTCTTTCCTGGGAAACAGATGCCTGAAGCCTGATGTGAGCTCCTGATGTGTGGTGCTGGCCCCAGATCCTGTTTATTTGCTGTTTGCCCTCTTCTCTTCCCTCTCCTTCCTGTCATGGTTACTATGGAGACAAGGGTCCCTCAGTAATTCTTCTTCCAGAGCTACAGTCCCATCCTTGGGACCCGCCTTTGCCATCCTGACAGGTTGCTGAGGCGATGTTGTCACCCGACTGGGAATGGGAGCCCCTGCCCTGAGCTGATGCAGTTGCTATGGAGACAGCTCTTGTCGAGACAGAAGGGAGGTGGCATGCCCTCATGGCTCTCTGCGGTGGCACTGCAGCCCAGCTGGGCTGCTGCTTCAGAATCGTAACAGCAGCTGCCCCTTCATCCAGAATCATCCCCCTTGTCTCCAGGCAGAAAGCCAGTGTGAGTGTGATTTGTCCTAACGTAGCTGCTGTGTCTGAGTGCTTCCCCCGTGCCAGGCACGGCTCCCAGCCTTGCCCATGTGCCTTCCTGCTGTTTAACCCTCTGTCGTCCCTGCTTTGTACATACTACTCCTTCTTGGACATTTTCACATTACAGTTTAGTTCATTGAGCACAGAACACACCGCTTTACAGTTCAGTTTCATAGGCTGATGCTGTGCTGCCCGCAGCAGGATCGAATTCCAGAAAACTCCCATGGCTCTTGTAAGGAACCCCACACCTGTTAGCAGTAATGCCCCACCCCCTCTTCCTCTAGCCCCTGGCAATTGCTGGCCTGTTTTCTGCCTCTATTGATTTATCTATTCAGGAGATTGCATTCAAGTGAAATCAAGCAATGTGTGGTCTTTGGTGATGGGCACAAGGCTCTTGGGGTTTAGGCATCCATGTTGAAGGACCTCATTTCTTATCATGGCTGGGTAGTAATCCATTGTGTGGGTAAAGTGCCTTATATGTGATAGATGTTTGTGTGGCTTCTGCTTTTCTGCTGTCACAAATAATGCTGTGATAGACATTCATGTTTGAGGTTTTGTGATTCTGTATGTTTCTCTTGGATATGCACACAGGAGCAGAATTGCTGTCAATGGATGAGACTGGGGGAAGATAAATAGGGGATTCAAACCCAGGGCCCTGGGTCTCCCACACTTGGACTGACTCCTAACGGAGATGCCGCTGCCCTGCCTCACTCATCAAGGGGCTTTCCCAGAACGCACACCAGTGACTTCTCATCTGGATTTCCTCCTTGGTGGTGGTGGGAAGAGCACCTTCGACCACTTGGGGCTGAGCCTGGTTCTACCGCTGTGCAGTGGCTCTGGGCCTGCTGTGTGATCCGCAGGACAAACCTGGAAGCGGAGCC